TAACTTGATCTTGTTGATCGAAGGCAGGATTACCAGGCCTGAGACTGAGATAGGAGCGCCTTGAAAGAGCATCAGGAAGGCCTTGAAGCTTTCCAGGTCTGTACTTGATAACAAAGTCAAACCGACTCAGGAATTGTGCCCACCTTGCTTGACGACGGCTCAAAACTCGGGAAGTGGCAAAGTACTCGAGATTTTTGTGATCCATCCAGACCGTTGTTTGATGGCCTGCCCCCTCCAAGAAACGACGCCACTCTCCAAAGGAATCCACAATAGCAAGGAGCTCCTTGTCGTGGATTTCGTAATTGATCTCCACCGGCTGGAATTTCCGAGAATGGAAAGCGACCAGATGAAGTTCTTGATCCGCTCTAAATTGAGACAGCACAGCACCAATGGCAAAGTCGGAGGCGCCAGCCTTGATGAAAAAAGGTTGTGAGGGATCAGCATGGATCAAGACGGGAGCAGAACTGAAGGCCGCCTTGAGTGTGTCGAAGGCCTGCTGGGCAGCAGCAGACCAAGAGAAGGGAACATCCTTGCGAGTGAGATGCGTGAGAGGAAGGACAATGTCAGAGTAGTGATCAATGAATTTGCGATAGAAGTTGGCGAAGCCAAGGAAAACCTGAACGTCCGACATTGATTGGGGAAGCTCCCATTCGAGAATAGTCTTGACTTTGGCAGGATCCATCGTGATACCCTCAGGAGTGACAATGTACCCAAGGAACTCCACAGACTGCTGATCGAAGGAACATTTCTCAAGCTTCGCGTATAGGCCGTGTTCTCGCAACTTCGCCAGCACCTTACGTACATGTTTGTCGTGCTCCTCATGAGTTTTTGAGTAGATGAGGATGTCATTGAGATAGACAATCACCATCTGATCAAGAAACTCCCGAAAGATGTCATTTGCCATGTGTTGAAAAACTGTTGGAGCATTTGTCAAGCCAAATGGCATGACAGTGTACTCGAAGTGGCCATAGCGGGTTCAAAACGCAGTCTTCCATTCATCACCAGGCCGGATCCGGATCAGGTTGTATGCTCCACGGAGGTCGATCTTGGTGAAGAAGCGGGCACCGCCGAGGCGTTCCAACAGGTCCGAGATCAGGGGCAGTGGATAACGGTTCTGAACAGTCACCTTGTTCAAACCTCGATAGTCGATGACTAGCCGTAAACTCACATCCTTTTTCTTGACAAAGAAGACAGGTGCTCCAGCCGGGGACTGTTTGTGCTGAATGTACCCCGAGGCAAGGTTCTGATCCACGTACTCTTTGAGGGCCTGAAGCTCGGACGGGGATAACCCGTAGATAGGCCCCCATGGAGGTGACGCTCATTTCTGTAAATCAATGGGACAGTCATAAAGCCGATGAACAGGCAAGACACTAGCTTTTTTCTTGTCAAACACATCCCCAAAATCATGATACTTCTCAGGAAGACTGACAGGAGAAACATGCAAAGCAAAAAGGAAAAGAGGTTTTTCATGAAGGAGTTCTTTCATAGTGATTGTGGAGATAGGAGAAGGCGTACGACTAAATGGAATGATGAGACGAGGATATTGTCCAGTGTAAGATGGAAGAGAGGAAAAAGAAGCGGGTGAAAACTTCGTAGAGTCAGGAACAGAACCCCGATTGGAGTTTAGGGAACTTTTCCTGATTCGGACTCGATGAACAGTAGGGGAAGCCGTGGGAGATGGTGATGTGGGAGAGAGGAGCTGTAATTCCTTCCAACAAATCTGAGGCTGATGTAGTTGGAACCAAGGAAGACCGAGCACCACAAAGAAGCTCTATTTCATTAAAGTGGGAATTGTCATTATCCCACTTGTAAAATAAGGTTTCCAAACCTTTATATAGTATATAAATATAACAAAATTCAACTGCATTGAGGCACATGCATTTTATTTTAAACAAGGAAATGTCTACTCAATCACTTCTCCTCCCCCTGCCACTGCTTCACCTCTCTCTTCTCCTTGTCATCGTCGTCCAATTTCTTTCCATCCTTTTAATATTGGCTCAGTTGCTCCGAGTCTAGGTGGAGCCCAAGTCCCCATTCAATCTTTACTTTCCCATTATTAATAAAACAACTTCGTAGACTTCCAATAACATGCTGTAACACTTCTAGTATAATGCAAATCCTCTCAAAGAATTGTCTTTTAATATTAATACAATGACATGGAACCCCATGCCATAATAAGTTACATTTTTAAATAAATACATGCCATCTCAGACTGTTATTTTTTGCCTCCAACGCCTATACAATAATTTTGGAATTTCATCACTCTCCACACTATCAGGATTTAAACCCAATAGTAATGCCATCTCTTCTCTAATACGTCCACGCTCATGTTCAGTGGTCGAAGAACCCATCCGGTTGAGCAGATTATGGAGATGCGGATAGTGCTTGGCTAGACAATATACATGCCATAAATGATGACTGGTGTCTGTCCGATCAAATGGCTTCTAATATACCGTTCCATCTGCCATTTGGTTGATTTCTGCAGCCACCTCCTGGACTGGCCGGTTCTCTATCACCATCGCTCCAAGCCGTTTTGCAAGGTCCCCCAGAACATACGGTTTCTTCTCCCTAGTTTCCATACTGCAAGAGATGGGGTGCACTGCATATGTGTGCGTGTTCGCTACAGTTTTAATCGGCGAGTCATCGATGATGAGGATTTCACTTGAGCTAGCAGTCCGGTTCATCACTACAGCCTCTGGCTTGACGAAGATGGGCTTGCTACCCCTCACATGGACCATAGTCAAGCAATCCTCCTGTGTTAGAAGAAAGTCAAATGGTAATATTACTCGCGTCTGATCGTGCATCATCTGTAGCAACGTTAATGCATTGTGGCGCATCATGGATGTCCAAACTCCCAATTGCAAATTGAACCCGGCCCTCTGTTTTAAGTGTCGCATGGTCATTATTAGATCCCGCAGTTTCTCCCGTGTGATTAATGTGAATCTGTCTCTTTTGACCAACTTGCGACCGCAGGCTTTGGAGGGTGCAATGACATTCAAGGACGAGCCACGCTCATGGGAGAAAAGGACACCGTTCAGATCAAAAACGATACAGTACCTTCGCCGTGACTCTGAAATGAAATGCGTCAGCATAAAAAATGGTACAAGTCAATTTTACCATCTACAATATTAGCGAATGTTGCTCCCGATGGTCGTTGAGAGGGTTTTGGTCGAGGAAACGTGAAGGGCGGAAATACCCTCCTCTGCAATGTGGGGTCAATCGCATTCATAACCCGGGTTCAAGGTGAGATTCATTAATATTCCTTTACTAAGTTTCTAATGTATTTTATTTCAAGGTGAACAATCCGAATCTGAATCAGAGGAGGCGTGATGGCATGTGGCCCTTTGCACTAGTATATCTTAATACCGGTCTGAGAAATAGAATGGCATGTGCCCTCAGGCCTTTTACTAAATCACCTTTGAAAGAAATGCAAGCCTCTATGTCGTAAAAAAAAGGTACTAGAGAAATTCCTTAATAATATGAATGTTATTTAGTTTCATGAAAATACACTAAGGGTCAAATGAGTTAAATGACTTCTCCAGACTAGCAATGCCTCTTGCTACACCTTCACAATTAGATTCGTTAGAAAAAGATAACATTGAATAATATCTAAATGTTCTCACCATTAAGTTATATGTCTGGCTAATAGGAATGACGTTCATCTTGGAAAGCTCACCACACGCTCAATGAACAAACAAATAGTGTGTGCGCGCATGCCATCGCTCTTCTTTAGCTTCAGATTCGGCTTGTTCACCTTGACAATGAGATTTATTATACAACCAGATGGACTCAGTCTGGACACAAAGTCACCGCGCTAGTCACCATGCCCCAGATATGTCTAGCCCCTGGACAAAAAACATATAATTTCACGTCATTTTCAAATACTTGAAAATTTGTACCTAGTCCCATTTTACTGAATAAATCCCACTTTAACGAAATAGAGCTTAAAGGAGGACTTGCTATTGATGATGTTGAAGGCGATATCGGTGATGGTGGACCCAATGTGTACTCGAACGGGCAACGTTTCCCTAAGCCCAGAAGATGGAGACACAAAATGCCCGCCGATGCCTTCAACCCTCAGATCCTGTATGGTAGGAGAAAGAGGAACGTGATGTCGGGCAGCAAAGTCCGTGTCCATGAAGCAGAAAGTTGCACCCGAGTCCAATAGTGCCAGAGCCTTGAGTCCTGATTGTCCGGTGAAAGAAAGGAGACATGGGACGTGGATGTTGTGGGAATTGGTGGTGACTTTGATGAAAGGTGGTGAGGAGCTTGATAAAGAAGAAAAGTGATTTTTATTCGGGAAGTCCAAACAGACAGCTCCTACTCTGTTTGGACAGGGTTGTTTCCCGACTGCAACAGAGGTGGACTTTGAGGCAGAGTGAACTCGAGTAGTCGGGTAGGCTTCTTGGGACATACAGCTGCTTTGTGATTAGGATTAGCACAGTAGAGGCAAAGATTATGAGATATTCGACGTTGCTTCTCAGCAGGACTCAACTTCCCTCTAATGAGTCGGGGAGTACCAGAAATATCCATCGGAACTGGAGCAATAGGTTCAGGAGTATGCCCCAAAGACTCAAGCTGGGATTCCTGAGTCTGGGACGGAAAAACAGTGGCGCGGCAACTTTCCTGACGACGTTCAAAGAGACGGTTGTCACATCAAACAGCTTTGTTGATGGCGTCTGACAGGTCCTTAGGATCCTCCATGGTGAGCAACAAATCCTTGACACCGTTGTTGAGGTCGAAACGAAATTGGTCAATCAGGGCCTGCTCATCCCACTGAGTGTCCAAGGCAAGGAGTTGGAACTCTGCAGCGTAGATCGAGGCGGGACGAGACCCTTGAGAGAGACGTCTCATCTTTGTGGTAGCAACTCGAACCCGATCCGTCTCGCCAAAACATGCTTCGAGCTTCTCTTTGAACAATTGAAGATCCATCAGCTCCGGAACCACGACCCCTTTCATGCTCTTCTCCAGAAGAGGAGAAAACCATGACAAAGCTGCACCTTCCAGCAACGTCCCAATCGCACTAATTTGAGACTCGAGAGTGGGGTACCGCCGACGTTGAAGTGCGAAAATCAGCTCCATTTGGTTCAGGAATCCACGAAGCTCCGAACGCTTGCCTGAAAATTTCGCCGGGAAACTCACCTTCGGTTCAGAAACTTTGCTAGATCCTTGAGCCGAAAGTGAAGCAAGTTCCTGCTGCATGCGAAGAAGGGTCGCCTTCAGCTCGGTATTCTCAGACTGGATTTTTGCAAGAACTTCGGCAAAGAAATCAGGATGGCTTGGAGACTCTATCGACAAGAAGAAAGAAAAAGGGGGAAAAAAAAGGCAAAGGTAGTCAAACAATCAAAACGAGCTAAAGCAAAAAATGAAAAAAACACAATCTGAATCAAACTGTCAAGACCCCCAACAAGATCAAGACTGGAAAATGCAAAGGACAAAGAGAAAAGCTAGTGGAAATAAAGAAAAGGCCTTAGACTGGTGTTGATTCAGATTCTGGAGAAATGGAACAAGGCTAACCTATATATACTATAGGTTGATGAAGCTCCACCACTCTTAGATCAAGGATGGCCTAAATATAGCTAAGGTCGAGGAGGCGCCACATCATCATCAGGATGTGAGACACAAAATCCCTAGGCCCCAAAGTGGAGCCGGAAGGGCGCCACATGGTAGTGGCCGAAGCGAGAGCCAAACGAGCGTAACACGTTTGGACCAAAAGCTCCGACTTGAAAAGTCAAGAGCGGGAGTGGAACTCCCAAAGAAGTGCTCGAGGAACGAGCACGAAGCGAGCAAAAGGCGAGGCTCCAAAAAGGGACCCAAAAGGACCAACACATGACACGTGGGAGTGTCCAAGATGGACCCGAAATGGAGTCCGAGATGGAGTCCGAGATGGAGTCCGAGGTGGACCTGAGATGGACCCGAGTTGGAGTCCGAAGTGGAGTCCGAGATGGACCCGAGATGGAGTCTGAGATGGAGTCCGAGATGGAGTCCGAGGTGGACCCGAGATGGACCCGAAATGGAGTCCGAGATGGAGTCCGAGATGGACCCGAGATGGAGTCCGAGATGGACCCGAGATGGAGTCCGAGATGGACCCGAGATGGAGTCCGAGATGGACCCGAGATGGAGTCCGAGATGGAGTCCGAAGTCGAGACCGAGACCGGGACCGAGACCGAGACCGAGACCGAGATCGGGACCGAGACCGAGACCGAGGCCGAGGCCGAGACCGAGCCCGAGCCCGAGTCCGAGTCCGAATCTGAGTTCGAGTCCGAGTCCGAGTCCGAGTCCGAGTCCGGAGCCTGAGAGGGTGAAAGCCCAAAGCGTTCGTCTCCCAGACCCTGGGGGGTTTGGTGAGCTCCAAAAGTATAGTAGGGGGAGGACTGCAGTGGAGCCAATTTGGCCAGGAAAGGCCAGTTTGGCCCAGGAAGGCCAGACCCAGTGTTGGGTGATGAGCTGCCCACTGGGAAGTCCAAAACTAGAGTGAACACAGACCGACAAGCGGGGTAGCTTGGTGAAGTGTTCAAGAGCCGGCTCTAGTCCCCCCGGGAGATCGACTGGCCGATGCTCCCAGTCCAAGTGTGGGTGGCACTACCTACTTGGATACCTGGTGTGGCTCAACGGAACCCGCTCTAAGCCCATGGCTAGAGCACCCAAGGGCAGAAGGCGAGGAGAGTACCCAGGTGGCTTGCGTAAGGCCACGGTGTTCCGAAATGTTGTCCCAAAGGCCCAGACTGTGGAAAGGAAGAGGAGCAGTCCTCTAGGGTAGTGACCAAGGACACAGTCATGTGGTGAGGAAGTCCCAGAGGACTGTGGGACTTAGTGGTCGGGCCTATGGGTCTCGATCCAGTGGCAGTGTTGGCAAACACGGCCAGGGGCAGAAAGGGACTTGGTGGGGACTGACAGAGGGATATTGGGGAAGGCTATTCCCCCTTGTTGGTGGGCATCCTAAGGATGCTAAGGAGTGGATCTGAGATGACCACTCACGGATGGTTTGCCTAGTCTTGGAGGGCCAAGACGGTGATGCAAGTGGTGTTGGACCACTAGTGTGACCAAGGTAAATGGGCATGGCTTTAGCATAACAGGCCGGTACGTCGGTGATACCTTGGGGTGTCGATCATGGGATCGGACACGTGGAGCACTTGGACCAAGTGCTAAGGTTGAGTGGCATGGATGCCATTCTCGGGGTTAGCAAGCCCCAAGTCCTGAGTGGGACTTATGGAAGTTGTCAATGAGACTCCTCCAAGTGGTCAGACGTGTGGTTAAGTGACTAAAGTAAAATGGAAAATTTAGTCGCTTACAATTTGGTATTAGAGCTGTTCCTTAGTCCGACTTTTATTGGTGCTCAAGTATATCACCACTAGTGTTGGCATCGGAAGGTCCGAGGAGTGGGCCTATCCTTGAGGAGTAGCAAGTCGGGAAGACATGGCTCTCCATTACAGTTTATGTGTGAACTTGTAGACGAGGTGGTGGATAGAAAAGGGCCAATAATGGAACGACTTTGGGATCTTGGGAACAGTGCAAGGTTTTCCTCATTGAGTTGAGGATGTGATCCGGATGAGCATTTGTCTCAGCAAATTGGCTTAGGTTGTTGTGGTAAATAACTAAAGTTGGGATCACGGGAAAGATAGAGACTCCAAAACAATAAAGGAGTCACAAGATTATCCTCATATAGTTGAGGTTGGTGCTCATGAATGTGAGACCAAAGGTAATGACCGTGGAAGGTCAAATACGGAAGAGGACTCAAGTCCTTGAAATAGTAGCCGGGGCTACCTCTAATAAATGCTGGAACAACCCAAGGAGTTGGGGGTGTATTAAGTGGATGAGTTGGTATTCTCATCACATGGACAAGTAGTCCTAAGGGGCAAAGGTTGCCCCCAGAGAACAAAATCAAGTGTCGGAGTAACACTTGTGAAAATAGTCCTTTTGAGTAGGACCGGAATGCAAGATGTGTATTCCAGTGAGCTAGTGCCTCACAAATAGGACCTTACGGGTCGGTGGATTAACCAAGTCCAAAACTGCTAGACGACTCAAGTAGAGTCAAGGGATGGTCCTAAAAAGGACTGAATGAAGCATTTGGACTGAGGTGCGTTGTACCCCACAAAGGATGGGGGGGGATCATAGGATCCAAGGATGAGAACAGAGAGTATCTCATCGATGGCAAAATGTGCCATGCTAAAGTTATGGGAAAGGTGTTCCCAGAAGGAAACAACTTTGACATAAAGTTGTGTGTGACCTCTATGGGGAAGTGCTAACGGATGGTTGGCATGAGAAAGAGCGGTGTTAGTCTTGGCAAAGACTTAGACACGAAGGGAAATGTCATAGAGGTAGGCTCGTGGAGCCGATGGTGTGGAAACACCAAATGTGCCAAGGTGTGATACCTTGAGGCTATGTTGGTGGGTTCATGAGAACCCCTTGCCAAAGGAATCCCAATGGAAATGGGAATGGCATAGCTTAAGCTGCAGAGCATGCAATTGGAGTGTGGTGACCCAGATAGTGATGGAGGTGTGAATGCACCAAGCAATGAGTTGTAGGACTTGACAACTATGAGGCAACTAAGCAAGAGGTGCAAAATAACTGGTTAAACGGGTAGAAGGTAGCTACCCAAGACTTCTAGTATAGGGAAGTCGGATATACCCTTACGGGGGATAAGTTGCTTATGTTGCGATATAGTAAGTCAATGTCATAAAAGGAAATACTCATTGTCAAGAAAGCCATCATTGGGACACCCGAACACTCTAGAACACCAGAAGGTGGTGTTTGATGTCGCGAGGGCAATGGATAAAGCCCAAGGGACTAAGTCCCTGGATAGAAGGTGCTATCCAAATGTCCAAGGTTGCGGAGACAAGAGAGGACTGTCTACCCAAGTTGGACAAAGCCAAAAATGGAATTTTGGCAAGGCTAGTGATGGGCATGTAAAGGCCCATAAGCAACAATGTAACCCCAGTGTGTGGGATTATAAGCTGAGCATACCCGGATTGAGGAACCACTCCCCGGGCTATTGGGTAGGTTCATCCCTAAGAATACTTGCTAAGGCATGATAGAAAGTGCAAAGCTATCCTCCTGGTCTGGAGGAGAATGACCGAAGGAAAGGTGTGAAGCCAAAGGCAAGTAGTGTTGGGATGGAACTGAACCATAGAAATCAAAGGTCATATCCAACAGTGGTTATGAAAGTTGGGAGTGGAGAATCAAAAGGGTGCTCGAGGATGTTGTTGCTAGCAACCGTGATGCCATGGAGAGTCTAAAATATGGAATTGTCCATGTTAGACTATATGGCAACTATAAAGCTTGCGAAAGGGGAGGCCTTAGCAAGCTGAGGGACAGAGTTCCTTCAAGGTTCCCAAAGACGATTCTAGGTAGCGTAGTACCTAGAAAGGCCAAGTGTAAATGGTTCATGGAACGCGCGAAATCAGAGTGGCGCAGCAGAAGCGTGGTCTTGAAGCTTGCCATGAGGCAAGGTTATCAAGGTTAGGGAAGTAGTTCCCGAGTGTTCAAAGAGAGGGCTTTGAACGAAAGTCGATGGTCAAGGACTTTCACGCTTATGCAGGAACCATGTTACAATGGTCGGAGGACTTGCCAAGTGAGATTGGCACGTCGGGGGAACAAAGACCCTAGTTGAAGGTGATATCTTCAAAAAGGGTGGGCCAGGGGGCCGAGCATGGAGGATTCCATGCATGATCACAGACATGTCAAGTGAGAGGACTTGGCAGTGTGGAGGAACTAGGTTCCTAAGCTGTGATCTGTAGCGCGCTTTAAAAATAGGTTGGTGCACCGGCGTGGGGAGTCACGCCAGGCATCTAGTGTGATGCCGTCCGTAGATGCATATACGGAGGTTGGGTTTGAGTCCCGACCCTCTAGTGCTTGGGTTCGAGTCCCAAATCACTAGGGCGTGGTGATGGTTTGGAATATGAGGACACTCATATTTCGGTGGTCATGGACTCTCAGTGGGGAGACTGGTTTGGGCACACCGCCAAGCGAGGGATGCCTCGGAGTCGTGATGCACGGTTAGATTGCTTAGTGTGAAAGCTCAGCATATCTAACTTGAACACTTTGGTGCAAGTGGCACCAAGGTCATGGTGAGTGAGATGGGG